AAGTTTCCTTCCATGCACTTGAAGCCTATCCGTCGTTCGTCTAGCTGCGGGAAAGTACTACTTTGGGCACTTCTTAAGAAAATAACTATTTCCATTGTCAAATATATTAAAAATAGGCTAAGAAATAGAGGAGGCTTGAATCTTTCAAGATAATAAACTTAGGCCGTGTTCGTTATTGTCATCTTTTTCGTCGATCTGCTACGAAATTCAACCATGTGACTGGTTCAGACAGTTTCAATTAACAAATCACGTGCCTGTCAAAATTTCGGGTATAGTACGCGCAACAATATACCGTTGACTCTAACTGCAATAAATTAACACCCATTATCCTTTAGACCAAGTAATAAATCATAAAACCCCAAATTTAAACCTTTTTCGAGCAGAGCCGGATCCTCAGGTATTATCACAAATTCTATTTATAGCAGGTAGGTATGTTACATACCTGATGACCTAGATTATTCTGAGTTTTGAGAATATCTATGTCTATATTGCATATCAGGTCAAAATAACCAAAATATAAATAGTAGCAACTGACTTTATAATTTTAGTTTTTAGTAGTCTTCCAGAGAGTAGTTTTCAGTTGGACTTATCTGTGGTATTATGTGGCGTCCTTTTGAGTGTACTGATAGGGGGGCATCTTCAAGTGACATTTTTCGAAGAAAGCATTTATCTATCGATGCCAAACAAATAATTAAAAATGTGTATCAATCTTTGTTGAGTAGAAATTTTAATTCAACGAACGCATTAGCAGAGACGTCTACTTTAACAAAAACTCCTTTATCTTCGGTAAGAGACATAGTACTTAAACCTGTTAATCCTAGAAAAAAACGGAGTGATTCTGGCACATTTAGAAACATTGACCAAAATGACATAGATCTATTGAGAAGGAAGATTTATCAAATGTATGAGGAACAAACTGTACCGACTTTGATTTCCCTCAGAAAACGGCTGTTAAAAGATGAAACAAATATCTCTTGTAGCCTTTCAAGCCTCAGGACAATATTGAGTAAAATAGGTTTTAAATACCGAACAATTAATAAGAGGCAAACATTAATGGAGTCTCAACGTTTGCGGGAGTGGCGACTTAGATATTTAACAGCTCTTAAACAATTTAGGGAAGAAAATCGGCCAATTATTTACCTTGACGAAACATGGTTCGATACCCATGATACTCCAAGAAAAGGTTGGAATGATTCTTCTAAAAAATGTCAAACCAAGGCACCTTCAAATAAAGGCAAAAGAATCACAATAATACATGCTGGTTCAGAAAACGGATTTGTTCCAAATTGTCTGTTACTTTCCGCCAAAAACATATCAGATTCTTCTTTAGATTACCATCAAGATACCGACGCACGACTTTTTGAAGACTGGTTTGAGCATAAACTCCTTAAAAATATCCCCGAAAATAGCGTCATCGTAATGGACAATGCTAATTATCATAGTCGGCAAGCAAAAATCATTCCCAATTCTAATAATACGAAGGAAGAAATTCAAAATTTCATGATTGAAAATGATTTATATTTTGAAGAAACTTACAAAAAACGAGAACTGCTAGAAGTATTAAAGTCTTTCAAAATCAATAAGTGTGAGTGTGACAAACTTGCAGCCAAAAATGGACATACAGTGTTGCGCCTTCCTCCATACTATTGTGTATTTAACCCTATCGAGCTAGTATGGCACCAATTGAAATCGAATATTAGGAGAAATAATACTTCTCCCACATTAAATGCATCTGTAGTAGAATTAATTAAAAACGAAGTAGAAAAGATTTCTGCAGACAACTGGAAAAACTGTGTAAATCATGTACTGAAGGTGGAAAATTCTTATAATTGTTTCATTACAAATGTTCAACCCTTAATTATAAGTTTAGGTCTAGATGATGACAATAGTGATAGTGATACAGAGTTAAATAATGAATAAATTATCAGTAGTTTTAGAATTTCGTAATTCCTATTGTGTTTCTTAATATCTTTATTATATTTTTTTTCTTTTTTTTTATATTTCTTATCTTATATATTTTTTTTATACTTTTGAATTATAATTTTTGAAATAATACTTGTTATCGTTATTTTACCCTTACCTTAAACGAAAAATGTCCAATTATCTTAAATTATGAAAATAAATAATGTGGTTGGTTGGTATAAAGGTACCTAAATGTTTAAGCCGACCCTGATTCCATTTATTGAGCTTTGAAGAGGTTGGGGCCTATACAATAGGGTCTAATCCAGGTAGTTAATTTATTGCAGTAGGAGTCAACGGTATATTGTTGCGCGTATTATACAGACCAACTCGGCACCAAACTCTTGAGGTCATAAACGTAGACCGGCCAACTCGACACCGTCAAACGCAGGTAGTTTTCAAAGAGCCCCTAAGAGATAGGCCAACTGAGCACTCTATTGTCTAGAGGATAGGTCAACTGAGCACTCTATTGCTTAGGAGATTAATTTTGGCATAGGTATTTTATGCCCCAAAATTGAAAATTAGATCTCAGAAAATTCAGCATTTCCTCCTTCGATGTGGGCTTCAAAGAGCAGTTATCTATTTTCAATAACTAACCCCTGCGAGTCACTTCATTCTCATTGCGCATCCTTATAGAGACCACCATTATTGAATACCAATGCTTGATTTATGTAAAAATTCAAAGTATATTAATACCATTATTATTGTTAAAACTAAAAAAGTTAAACAAGCAGAATGTTTCCTAAATCAAAAAATCCTGGCACTCGATAATAATGAATTAACCGAGTACGATTGTACACTTGTACACTTGTAATGTAAATAACTATGAAAAATTATTCATTTAAAATAAAGCTTTTTTAGATTAATTATTATGTGAGTTCTATCACCCAAACGTTTTCTAGAAACCTTCAGTTGGCGAGTTCAATAAAGTGGCGAGTTGGCCCAGGTAAAGTGTCGAATTGGCCGGTCTCTATTTAGTCTTGGTGTCCAGTTGGCCGGTCGGTCAAGGGCTTAAATTTTACCTAGGTACAATAAAGTGCCGAGTTGGCGTCCGTCCAAAATTTCAAGCAAATAGTAGTAAAAGATGCCAAAAACGAACACGGCTATAAAAAGATCTCTACTCAACCAAATAGTTATCTAACCAAGAAATTATAAATGAAGTTCTAGAGTAATTTTCTCTTTTACAAAAAAATATAACTCCTTCTACACATGAAGTGCGAAGTGGGTCGCTTGACCCGAAAATTTCCCGGGCCGGTCTCGGGTCTCACAACTCTCACAGAGCCCATATCTGTCCCTGCATAACCGTGTTGTAAATATCATTCTGTTGAAAGAAGCAGATTTTGATATATTTCAAAAAGTATGCTTTCAACTCTCAGTTGCACCCCTTGTTGCTGAGGATGATGCATATTTTTAAAAAATTTAATCAACATCTAAACTAACCATGTTGTACATCATGAATCTGTTGAAACGAGCAGATTTTGAGATATCTCAAAAAACAAAATAGGTAACATGAAAAAAAAACTCTCTCGTTTACTCCTTAATATAATTTCCCCAAGAACATGCGGGTTGTTTTTGCTGATATGTAATGTAGTAGAATTTTAGAAAACCAAGTCAAGTGAGGTAGAAAACAATTTCTGTCGATTGTCGATTAAAATATGACCCGGGTATCTTCGGAAATTTTGCTACTATCTTTCGCCCCTAACTTACACCGGTTGCCTGAAGACATCTTCAACGAGACGTCTTAAAGACGTCTGGTGAATCTCTTTTCAATACATAAACTATATTATTCACTCTTAGGCCTTAGCCCTGGTTGTACCAAATAGTTGCCTTCAATATGTGAATTTACGACATCTTATGGACATTTTCAAAACAACGATTTTATTATAGACGTGTTTATTTGGTCTTTATAGACGTTCAGACATAATGCAAACCTAAAAAAGACGTCTTTAAGACTTGTGTGCTGTCTGGGTAGTAGCCTAACATTTAGCTAGCTCCAATGTAGCACAAACATTGGCAAAAATTGCGACTTCTCAAGTTTCAATTTTTTTTAGCATTTTCTTACTCCCAGAATCTTCCTGGGGTTATCTATCTTCCAGTAAATCCATATTTTTCCATAACCGAACTCTTGGAAAGCCAGTAATGAAAGGATTTATAAGAATCAGGCCGGTATACTTAAAAGTATAGTCCTAACTGCGATTGGATAGTTTTATGGCTGAGATTTTATGGATAACCTTAAACCTACTTGTATTATTTTATTGTTTGTTTGCAGCTAAGGGTTAGCCTAACACTGTTAGGCTTCGTTGGAAAATCTAACTTTCACTGCCAACTTTATGCAGCAACGGTAACTTTCATGAAAGTTAAAGTTTGTCAAGCCATTTGGCTTGCAGATTTTTAAAAGATATATTTTAAAGCAGAAAACTAAGCTTGAGTTTTTTGGTAAGATACTTCTAATTTAATTATCGCTCTAGTACTCAAAAAGGGTTAGGTCGATGTTCCAAACTATTTCTCCGAAAAGAAATCAAACATAACTCGACTGCAACTCTTCAAAACTTGCTCCATCCGTGTAAATTATTTCAATCAAATATCTAAAATTGTTTTCTCAAAAGTTTAAACTCGAACGCAAGCAAGTGACACTTTTTGCGAGGTACAATTGGAAAAATTCGATTAGCTGTTCCAAAAAGTTTTTTCAGAAAAAAATCAAACAAAACAAAATCAAATCTACCTATTTAAGCGGATCCGATGAAGTTGAGGCTATAATTTTTTTACTAATGACACAATTTGTCTGGTGCAATTTATCAGAAAGTATAGGTAGACTGTTTTAAATAATTATTATCAATATATTTTGTGCTAAAATATTTGCCAAAAACCCATTCTTCGCCATCATTCCAAGATAAAGCTTCTTCTTTGGCTAGGCACCAAAGGCGGAACATCTAAACTTGACCCCAGAGCGCCTCACCGCACGTAAGCTTAGCGAGCGAAGCGCGAGTACCCATGGAGGGGTTCCGCCAAGTATAAAACACCCACACCCACCGCGCACATGCCACAACTCTAGTGTTCAGTGCAGTGCTAGCACCAAATTTCCTAGTTCTACATAGTGGGTTCTGTTGCTTGTTAAGCCAGTCCGACAACATAAGTCAGTTTAAAACGCGAAGTTTGAATTGTTTAATCAAGGTAGGATTTTTTTTTTTACTTTTGAATTTTTCATTTATATTTTATTTTTTTTTTTGTTAATGTAAATCGGTTAAATCGCGAAGTTGTATGATTTTTTTAGTGAAATTTTCAAGTATCTAACTTTTGTTTAGTGTGAATTTTGATTATTTTATTTAATTATATTTAATTTTTTTTTTCTATGTTCATTTTCGCTTATGAATTTCTCATTCTTTATGGGCAATTTCTGATAAATTTTCTAGAAATTACTACTAAATCACAATTATTAGGAAGACCTTTCCAGTTTTGGTAAATGTAGGCTTTTTTTGAGTATTTAATTTCTATTTCTTATAACTATTTTCCAGAAAATTGTTCAATGTTGCACACTGATTCGATATTTTCATAACTAAAGTGGAGATTTTGTTAAAGGAGTAGATTCCAATTTCATTTACCAAATTTTTTGGCTTAATTCTAAATTGCAAATAGTTTCAAATTTCTATTAAAATAAATTTTCTATAATGTGAACCAAACCAAATTTATTTCGTAAAAATGAAACTCATTTAGGTAAGAATTTACTAATTATCTTCAGCATTTTCTAATTCTTGTTTGTCTGGTTATTTCACGAGACCAATTTTATTTACCTATTGTACAAAATGTTTTTTAAGTTTGGGTTTTCCTTTCAAGATGATATAGAACTTGAGAAAATAAACGAATTTCTCAAATAACATTTTCTCGAAAATAAAAGACATAATATGGTAATTTTAAATAATATCGAGAAAACTAGTTTTTGCACATGGACTTTTTTGAGTTTTCGAGAAAAATTCGTTTATTTTTTCAAGTTTTATGTCAGCTTAGAAGAAAAACTCCAACCTAAAAAAACACCCTCTATATTTGAAGAGTATTCTATTTTCCTGTTTTTTTTATTCAAAACTTACTCGAGATTACATTATTAATTTTACAAAATATGAGATATCTACCTAAACAGATTTCCCAAAATTTATCCCAAACAGGTGCATTACCTTATTAGCACCACAACTTCTTCAATAATTTATTTTCAGATTTTTATCAGTCACTTCCTCATTCTACAGTAAAATTGAATTGAATTTCTATTGATAGCTAGACAAACTAAGTGATGTATAACAATTTAAGATTTCATCATTGCAAATCTAGTAAAATATAAACAACAAAAAATCCACCTGTTCAACAATAATTTATGAATAATGATGTTTATCCATTCAATACCAAAGATAATCCGTTTTCTAATGAATCACTAATCTAAAATTAACGTAACGATTCGCAAAAATAATTACTTCTAATTTGATTAATTATCTCGAAACGTACAAAAGAGCGTATACAAAATGGCAACCCGCACCCTTTTTAATTCGACATTTAAACGCAAACACAAAAACCTTTCAGTCGATTCAAATTGACGGCGATCACGAAAATTGCAGTGATTCACCTTATTTTTTGATTGAGTTGCAATTTACTCAAACAAATGATTTGACTCTGAATAATAAAGCCTATTTAATTAGTTTCGAGAGGATAACGGTCATTAAATCTGTCATTGATGGAAAAATTTACTGAAGAGTACTTTAATCTGAATGGAGAAATTACCAGCCTGAGAGTTCATTGTCACTTATTTAAAGATCTGTTTAAATTTCAGTGCCGGTGACTTAATTTGATAAGACTTATTGTGGCAATATCAATTTAATGTTGCTGCTTTATTATTAATAATTGTATATTCCTATAGTTCTTTGCATTTTTTGATAAAATGCTGATTCGCTAGTATGGATTTTGGCCTAATAATGCTCAATTTTTCAGCAGTTTAATTTATTTGTAGTTAGTAGTTTGAGTCAGAAATATCAGCTTTTTTATAACTATTACAGTTTTGCGCCATTGAGAAAGTGTAGAATCTATGAGAAGACATTTGTTGAGAAGTTTACCTATAGATAACACGTAGTTCCATCCTAAATCGCCTTTATTGTTATCTTCTGGTGATCTATTGTTTTTCATTGTCAATATGTGATTTCGTGTAGATCGCTATGTATGGAATTGGAATACCCTCAGATTCGACATTCTGATTTTTTGGTATCCGCCATGGTTCTCTATAGAACTCTCCAGTAATTTTTAATATTTCGGCTCTATAGTATATTTTCAGGTCACCATTTTGCTCAGCATGTTTAGAAATATTCCTCCTTTACCTTCAGCAAGATTTCCACGTAATACCTTTGGACTCTTATTGTCCTCAATATTATGTACATTGTATGTTGGAACATTTTGTTGTCTAGTTATTTGCTCTGTATTTCTCGTCTCGTCTCAATTTTTCCTTCTCTAGTTTTGTCCATTATCCTTCAAACTAATTGGTTATTTCCACTTGATACGCTGTTATGTATTCCAGTGGCTTCAACTTTGCATTTTGGATATTTCGGTATTTTTCTTCTTCAAGTGCTTTGTCTTCTACGAAGGTTAGCAATCATCAACGCTATCTGTACATTGTCGACTGCTTTTCTGAATAGACTTGTCGTGGTTTTGTCATACCAGTGACGCAAGATCTTCTTCGATGTCCAGGGCCTCTTCTTCCTTCGATTTTTGACAAGTAGGTATTTGTCATTTGAATATGTGTCCAGAGTACTCTCACTATCGCTTTTTAAATGTAAATATAACTTCAAGATCTCTTAACATTCTCGTTAGAACATCTTCATTACACACTCTGTCCGTCCAAGTTATTTTTAGCATGCGTCTATATGTCCACATTTGAAAAGACTAGCTTTTTACACATAGCGTCTGTCAGAGTTCCTGGCACGAACATCCTGCATGTTATCCTAGTCTTCATTAACCTGATATCCTAGGTATCTGTATGATCGGCTGTTGATTCTGTACCTGAAGAATACCTCCTCCAACCTGGTCCTTACTAATCACTATCCATTTAGTTATTTTGGCATTCAATTTCAATTCAAATCCTCCACTTTCATAGTACTCAAATGATCAAGTAATATTTGAAGACTTTCCAGAGAATCAGCGATTGTTAATCTTCACAATGTTGATAGAAATTCCCTCAGTGCAGGCTTCTAATGCTTTTTCAAATATATGTCGTTTTAGAACGTCTTTCTTCGTTTTTTGACACCTAATTGGAAGATTTCTTTCGCTCATGGACTTTTGTATAGTCTTCTGTCATCCCAGTTTTGGTCTTCCTGGTTTTCTTCTACCTGTTGGTTGCCAATGCAGCTTTTTTCTGGGCCAACTGGTATAGTATCCATTTCAACTGCTTCTATTTTCTTCTTTTGTTTGTCTGTGTAATTCTCCAAGTCTCTGCTTCATATAGAAGGCTGCTCTTTATCATTGTCTCGTACACATTGAATTTTCTTTTCTTTGTATGATTTCCTTGATCCATAAGATTCCATTCAGGCATCCTATTACTTTTTTAGCTTTAACTATCCTCATTCATATTTCTTTCACATCTGTTCCGGTGTTGTCGAATGTGATACCCAGATACTCAGATTCCTGACATTGCAGAATTTCCTGACCATCATCGACTTTCAAGTTTCCGTTCTGGGTGCCTACACATAGATATTTTGTTTTATTTATATTAAATCTCAGGCCTCATTCTTGGTACTCTTCTATCAGCTTTCTAATTTAATATTGCATCTGCTTTTTGTCATGACCTGATCATCTGCAAACTGAAGAGTAAACAGGCATATATCTCTATACCCATTCCATGGATCTCCTCTTCCAATTCTGTAGTGCTACTGCTACGTATATTTTGAAAAGCGTAGGAAAGTCGCAACATCCTTGACGTAGTCCTCTATTCACGATGAATGTGTCTGTGAGTTTTTCACCTATCTCAATTCTTGATTTTGAGTCTTTATATAGTTCTTCAAGTGTGGTTATATAGGTGTGATTGAGGTTAGATTGTTCCATATTTAAGATTCTTGACAGTTTTTTTTACTGTTTATTCAGACATCTTAACTAGGTACGTCTCCAAATACTTGAATATGCCTGGGAGAATCTAATATATGTATATTCCGGTCTACTTTCCTGCAATTGACCCTTGTAGTGTTCTATCCATTGCTCTGGTTTGATTACCTGGATATTAGCTCTGTCCTTTCCTGGATTTTTGATATTTGATATAAATCTCCATACCTCTGAGCATTTCCTTCCTCCAATGTAGGTGTTAATTTCTTCACATTTCTTATCCCATGACTTATTTTTAGCTATAGTGATGCGCGTTCTTAGTAGTCTTGGTGTCTTTATAAACTTCAAGGTCTTGTTTATTTTTTGTTGTTAGCCATTTCAGATATTTTTGCTAATAGCTCTATTTCGTTCCACCAGTATTTCTTGTTGGTATTTTTTTTCTTCGTTGCTATTGCTTCTTGGGTGGCTTCTATTAGACTCCTTATAATATTCTCATAAAGTTTATTGAAGGTACATTCTTCAGGGTTTGATAGTTTGCTGTCGAGTCGGCTCTGATATAGAAATACAGTGCTTTCATCTCTAAAACTGTCAAAAGTGTATTTTGTTGTATCCGCTGTGTCCGTGAGCACTGCATTGATGTTTTGTTCCTCTGGCTTTTTGTTCATTTTCCTAAATTGCAACTTTATTTTGGCTCCTACTAAATAATGATCTGACCCGCAAGTTATTCTTCTCAGGACTCTTACGTCGTTCATCTCTATATTTGTTTCTTGTTTGCTCATCACATAGTCAATAATAGTTTCTAGGTTACAGGTATTCTGTATCCATGTGTAGCGGTGAATATCTTTGTGTTTGAAAAATCCGTTGCTTATTCAAAGACTGGTCATTATCATTGATTATTTTTCAAATATTATGTTCGAATAAATTTAAAGGATGCAACCCTGCCGGACACCTCTTTTTATCCGTACTTCATCAGACATTTGTTGTTCTACCTTGGTTTGTGCAGTCTGATTCCAGTAGAGATTTGCGATTATCTTGAGGCCTCTTTCATCTAGGCCCACATCCTTGGCAATTTTCTTTAGATTTTCATGTTGTATCTTGTTAAACGCTCATAG